CCTGCACACAGCTATCCAGATCAAACCAGTTTAGTGTTAATTGTTAGAGGTCAGAAGCAGGCTGGGCCGACCCCATATAAAGGCCCTACAGTCCCGTCCACGGGCATTATCATTATCATTCTGATTCTGGTCATACTGATTCTCATTCTGGTTGCTGTCATCTCCCTCCCGTTCGGGTCGTCGCTCGGTTCACTAAGCAGAGTCACGCACGTCCCCTCCCCGGGTCGGGAGGGAGACTTCCCGACCAGACCACGGCATCGCCAGCTGAGCAGATTCTCCCATAGGAGGCAGCCCAGCCAGCACTCACTGGGCCTACGTCAGGGTACACGTGAGTCTTGTCAGAACGTCCTAGGGTGAGTTACCTACTGTGGGAAGTGTATTCATTCAGGTGTGTCCGAGAGTCAGTGTCAAGTAACGTAAAGCATAATGTGTTAGTACCCCAATATAATAGTGCTATTAATGTGTCCATGTCATTGAGTGAATTAATAAATAGTTGTATCGAAGAGGTGTTTAACAAGTTGTCCCTTTAAGAAGTAATATACGTGTATTGACATACGAGATAAGATAAGCGTATTGACGCTGAGTAAATAACACCCCGGCCAGCCACGCTACCAAGTTTCCTATCTTTCCATTCCTACTCTCTATTCTTACTTATTTATGGCTTCCTCTCATTGTGGTCTTTGGTCTCATTATATTGGTGGCAGCGGTGGGATCTTCCTCTTTGTCTCATTATATTGGTGGCAGCGTGGGATCTTCCTCTTTGTCTCATAATATTGGTGGCAGCTACTCTCTATTTATATTCTTATTTATATTCTTCCTCTCATTGTGTTTTGTCTCATTATATTGGTGGCAGCGAACTATGAAGTTAACCCACGCCCGCCTCGTCCCTTGTTATTGGTAACAGTGTACTTAAAGTAAACCCGTGCCCTCCCCCGTTAGCCATAGCACCTGGCTCGTTAGTTCAAAAGTGCGTAATAAGAAGTTCCTGCGTAGTAGCGTGAAAAGTGTCCTAGTGTGTCTCCGTTACAGCTCAAGTAAATGTCTCTCGTCGTGGTAGGCGCGAATTTTTACTAGAAATATGTTCAGTGCTTAACGTAATTTCTCAGTGTCACCCACGATCTGTGACATTCTCAGTAGCCCAAGTGCAGTTTGATTGTTGGTCAATGTTAAATGTAGCCATTGTGTTTCAGTGATGAAAGCGGTGTCTGTACTAACTGTTATAACTTAACATGTCTTTTAACCTACATCCTCCTCCCTGTCCTAATCCTCACCTCACCCTCCTTACCCTTCCTCCCATCCCTGCCCCGCCCTGCCCCGCCCCTCCGTTCCGTGCCCCTCCCCGCCCCGCAAAGCCTCGGCCTGGCCCGATCAACCACGCCTCGGCTCCTCCCCACCTCACCCGCAACGCACCAGCCTGGCTGGGCCTGGCCAGCCTCGCCTCGCCCAGTCGCCCCACCCCGCTCGTGTGACCTCACGTCCTTCTGACCCGCCCCGCCTCGCTTGACCACACTGATTCCCCGTCTTTTGTCCCGTAAGCTGTGTGTTGATGATGATGGTTAATATAAAGTAATATTGCGATGAATGCAGAGCTTCACTCAGTGTATTTTTATGCTATTATGATTTGTGATGTACTCTTTGACGCGCAGTGATAAATGATATTCAGTGTAGTGCGCAGAGCTTCACTCCCCGACCCAGCCTGATGAGAACATTGTCGTGACGGAAATGATAGTTGCCAAACATTGACGTAACGTATAAAGTAAACATTTTTTTGCGAATGCACTTCCAACTAATCCATCATCCCTTTAGGATTGTTTCTCTGTCAAATGTCACTCACAGTACCACCCATGGCCAGCCGGCCGTCAACCACAGTACATACGAGCAGAGAAGAAGCAGCGTGAAGAAGCAGCGTGATGAATGCAGCGTGATGAATGCAGTACTCAACCCACCACACACCACGTCACTTCTGTCAAGTCCTCCCTTGGTCTAGGATTAAGAAGATTTTATATTTTTCTACTTTAGGAAGTTAAGGAGTGTGGAATGGATCGCCACACAACGAACCCTGGTGAGCCCAGCCAGGGAGGGATTCACCACTGTGGAAGGTGTAAGACAGGACGGTCTTTGGTCTCGCTGACACTCACGTACGGAGGGCGAGCCCTGGTCCGCGGAACCTGCCTTACAGTCATCTAAGGAGACGACAGCCCAAGCAGTGGACCGGCCTTCATCCCGGCCGGAGGGGGCCGACGGCAGATGAACAGAAAATCGTCTGGAATATGTTGAAAATGATGATGTTGCAGAGAAGAAATACAGATGGAGCAGAAAAATTCGTCTGGAATATGAAAATGAAGATGTATAAAGAAACGCAGATGAACAGAAAATTCGTCTGGAAGATGAAAATGATGATGTACTAAGAAAAAAGGAAGATGGAACAGAAAATTCATCTAGAAGACGTTGAAAATGAGGCTCTAAACGTAGAGGAAGAACACAGATGGGACAGAAAACTCGTCTGGAATAGTATAGAAACCAGGAGGAAGTGAGAAGAAGTCAGAAGGTGTGGAGAAACGACCTACAAGGTGCGGTATGTGAAGAAAGAAGACAGAAGATGTGCTATGTGAAGAAAGAAGACAGAAGATGTGCTGTCCTGACATCACAAGAAAGTCGATGATGAAGGACCAACCGACTACAGCTGCTGAGCTGCCGCCATCCCCTATTTTTCAGATACCAGCTGGATGGAAGACGTGAGCTATGCCGGACCCAACTAATGTACAAATGTTGTTGATGTATAATAAAAAGATATCAATACCCTAATATGTGAAGTAGGAACATTTTATGTGTATTTTGAAGTATTTTCTCTGATTTTGTTGATGTTTACTACAAAGAATGTTTTTTTTAGTCTCACTTTTTTCTATGAGTTCATTTGATCAATGTCTTGGACTATGAAACACGATGTTGTAGCTAGATAACTGACTGAGATGAATTATTATTTTGACATGGGCTGATAAGGAAATGTAACACCTGTTATTGTTTGTAGAATGTGATTTGCAAGTTTGCCTCGGACACTATGCTACATATGAAGGATTTTTTCATTCTATGTTCACTTGCTATGTTTCCTTTTTCTCCTGGCATAGAAGCTTTGATCTTGGCGGGAGGTATAGTGAGCTTTGTCAGATCAAACCAGTAGAAAAACATACACCTATGAGATTGTTGTTTGTAAATGTGAGACTATGTTATCGCCCCAAGGATTATCTTTGATACCACACGTGATGTTGCTGTCTATATGTGACATCAGTCTCTGTGATGAAGCTTTGGTCTTGGCGGGAGGTGTAATGATTGATTGTCAGACCAAACCTTACAGCCCAGAATTATATCACATATAACAGCAAGTACACTACAGACCTCGTGGTACCACCACATTCCGGGTTGACACACCTCAGGTCGACCCAAGGGACTTGACCTCGCCCGCTAATGACGTGAGCCGGGTGACCTACAACCGCACCTAACCAAGACACCTGGGCAGGACCACACCTGCACGCAGCTATCCAGATCAAACCAGTTTAGTGTTAATTGTTAGAGGTCAGAAGCCGGCTGGGCCGACCCCATATAAAGGCCCTACAGTCCCGTCCACGGGCATAATCATTATCATTCTGATTCTGGTCATACTGATTCTCATTCTGGTTGCTGTCATCTCCCTCCCGTTCGGGTCGTCGCTCGGTTCACTAAGCAGAGTCACGCACGTCCCCTCCCCGGGTCGGGAGGGAGACTTCCCGACCAGACCACGGCATCGCCAGCTGAGCAGATTCTACCATAGGAGGCAGCCCAGCCAGCACTCACTGGGCCTATGTCAGGGTACACGTGAGTCTTGTCAGAACGTCCTAGGGTGAGTTACCTACTGTGGGAAGTGTATTCATTCAGGTGTGTCCGAGAGTCAGTGTCAAGTAACGTAAAGCATAATGTGTTAGTACCCCGATATAATAGTGATATTAATGTGTCCATGTCATTGAGTGAATTAATAAATAGTTGTATCGAAGAGGTGTTTAACAAGTTGTCCCTTTAAGAAGTAATATACGTGTATTGACATACGAGATAAGATAAGCGTATTGACGCTGAGTAAATAACATCCAGGCCACGCTACCAAGTTTCCTATCTTTACATTCCTACTCTCTATTCTTACTTATTTATGTAATTCTCTTCTTGTGAGATTTGTCTCATTATATTTGACGGTGGAGGAGGGGGGGACTATAACCATGAGTTTCCCGAAGACAAACTCGATCGTGCTTTGAAATTCTGCAAAGAAACCAGTCCTGGACCGGATGAGATTAGATACGATATACTACAGCACCTGAGCAGGGCAGACCTGCTCAGGGTGTTAGGGGTCTACAATGAGATATGGATGTCGAGGGCGTTCCCAGTCTCTTGGAGATATGGGAATGTTGTACCTATTCCAAAAATGAGTGGCGACATTACCAACCCAAATTCGTTCCCACCTATAGCGCTCACGAATTGTCTATGTAAAGTCATGGAGAGAATTATAAAACGTAGGTTAATGTTCTATTTAGAAAACCAACAACTTACGAAACGACACAACCCCTTAAAAAGCCAAAGGTCCGTCACTCAGCGTAACAGCGACTGCCACAATGACCGTTGAATTTGACGGCCAGCAAATCAATTACAACAACAACGACAGCAACAAACCCATACACAATAATGACAATAACATGAGCTCATGTACCACACTAACAATAACAAACACGTGACAAGTGTAATTACTGTATAGTTATTAGTTAAAATATATATTATATGTTCTCTTTATAGGACTTATTTTGTATCAGTTAATTTAACAAGTAACTGGTGTAAAATAGCCCAAAGAAAAAATCTATTAAAGCAGAACATTGTAGGAATGTAATTAATTCTATATACTGTTGTGGTTACTGCCTTCCGAAAAAAAAATGCAAATTGAGACATACTGTAGTTGTTGCAAAAACACAAAAGACCGTATTAACTACCTAACTCCCCAACCAAAAGCAGCTAAGACCGATATTTCCTTATTGCTGATGTAAAATGGAGTGTTGCCTAAGCTGTCGGTGTAACGGGAGGCTACGATGACGCTGATGTAGTTCTTGAAGTCTATTAGGGAGAATCCACCTGCCATCACCTTCTGTAGAGCCTCATCCGCTTCCATCACCTGAGACATAAGAAAATATATTGCCGAATTATACCACACGAAGAACACGAGTTAACCAATGCTATTTATTTCCAGGTTAGTTCATTTCTTCTCGTCATTTAGAGGAACATACAAAGAAGTACTTAGACGTCTGAGAACAAGTTTTATTTATTTTTCCCCGTTTCTTAAATAAAAAAGTTATGTTAAGACTTTCGAGGAAATTCCAGATAGTTTTTACCTCCATTCCTTTGAATATCTGGTTCACCACAGGGTCGGTGTGTTTGGCGAAATATTCATAAGCTGCTCCCTTGTAGAGCCATGGTTCTGTGGCCCATCTCCAGTTACCCTGAGACACTAGATCCTCGAAGTAATCTAAGCTTGATGATTTCCCCTGGACCGTCAGGTGAGCGATCAGTGAGGAACGGAACCCTGTAGCGATGACCAGGCAAAATACCAGCCACCACCCAACCAACATCTGGACATAATATTGTGAGAGTAATACATCAACCATCGTCAAACATTTCCCCTGGATATACAGCAAAGGTGATGTTCCCACGGCTAACTACCCCGTCAACGCCTGGTCACATGAATGTTCGTTGATATATATGTTATCAAACCTAGACATTAAACACGATCAGGGAAGTAAGCAACCGAAATGGACAGGGTATATATTTACATTTACTATAGAAATTATAAGAACAATCAATGGGTAATTTATCTGGTAGCTTTTCGAAGGACTAAGAATCCGAGAAATGGGAACATACAAGGTACAACTCTGACCTGGCCTGAGGCACTAACTGAGGGGTCACGGGGTGGCTGCTCAAGGAGGGCGCCCCAGCCATACAGGAGTGCAGTGTTGAACTTGACGCTGCGACCTCCTGCTACCAACTGCCACACCCTCTGCAATACCCACATAAGAACGCCCCATGCAACAACGCTCCACAGCAGTGCAAACCAGAGGTCTCCTGAAGGAAGGAAGAGCAGTTGGTGTCACACGCTAGATTCTTTTGTATAAATAACTGTATAATATAAATATACAACTTTTGTATAGTAGCTATATCTTTTATTGATGGCAATATATACTATTTACATACAATTTATCCGTAATTACTGGTAAGAATACCTGTGTGCTAAGTATGTTTGTCTTTAGGTGAGTTATACTTTCCCTGTATATTAATGCCGTAAATTTTGTATTATCACTGTTATACTTTTAGAATAGATTCCTGAAGTTTAGTTTCAGAAATTGTTGCCTCTGGTCAATATTAGGCAGAGGTGAGAGACTAAGGGTTACGGTCAGCTTTAACATTTTATTCTCTAAGGGAAATATTTTACCTCACACACCAATTTTGTAAAGAGGTATATTTTACACAAACCTGAGAAAGGTCTTATCAAGGACAGGTGGGCTGGTAGTAGTGAGGGCTTCAGAGAGGTCACAGCCATCACATCTGATGGGTACGCTCGAAGGTACTCTACAACTTTAAGGCGTCCCGTTGTTGGCGCCACAATGGTGCTGAAATCGGTTTCCTCTCGCTGAAGTTGACCAATCATCCCGCTAAAATTACCATCCCTCTCGTCACCGAAAGAACGGTCAGGCTCAGCGAATAAGTCAATTCTAATTGAGGAATTGAAAACAATATTTAGCTTCGGCTTAATTTTGAATTTATTTTATAGATTATAGTCAGTAAAAGTAACGAGCTTTGACATTAAAATGTTTGCTATGATTTTCATTTTACCCTTATTGCGGACATATATTTGCGTGTAAAATATCATTGCCAACAGACCTATCCATATATGTGTAAATATTTTTAACAAATATTTTCTTAAAAACATGATATATAGTATCAATTATTTTACACTTCGGATTATACATAAAATAGTATTAGTTAGTGTGAAAAACATCCTTACGTAAAGTTTAGTACATGGGAGAAACTGGTGATGATCCTAATGTCTAGAGAGTCTCTGGGCTCAACTATGCCTCCCCGTACATCACGTCTCCTTACGTAATCCATGTAAGGGAAGTACGGCACAGTCACAATCCGCAACCTATGACCTCTGAAATTCTGGAACTGATCTGAATGGAAAGACGATAAGCTGAAGCATATATTTACTGATTCATTCATACAATTGGTAATATATATATATATATATATATATATATATATATATATATATATATATATATATATATATATATATATATATATATATATATATATATATATATATATATCGCTACTATTGTTGTTCGTACCTTGGAAGAGTCCTTGAGAGAGAGTTTTCTGCAGAATAAGTTGGACGTCTGCCTGCCCGTTGTTACAGTACAAACACCGCCGGTACAGCAGCACACGCTCACTCAATGAATCTGACAAAGATAAATATTTTATCTGGTTAAGTTTTTCCTCATTTTGATGTTTGAATGATTCTAACATCGTGAAATTAATTTCAAGAGACTCGGAAGACATCATTTGCTTTAAAACAGAGACAGTTGCGTCCGTCTGGCTAAAATGTATAGAAAAGAAAAGGAAATGTGCCTTCTCCTAGAAACTCCCATGGACACAATAAGTAGCGAAATACAACTTCTAACCTTCCTGGGGTAAAACTGTCCTGAGCCCTAATTTGCCAAGGTGTGCTGAGGTGTGGAGGGTGAGATCGTGGAGGGCCAAGTAGAGGGCGTGGACAGTGTTACGGAGACTATGGTGGAGGAGGACGTCCTTCACTCCTGCCGTCCCACCCACCACCACCACCCGCGTCTCAGAGTGCTTCCACAACTTTGCTGACTCCAAAAACCTTTAAAGAGAATTATTAATAAAACTGTGAGGTTCATAAGCCAATCTTACATGCTTATAAACACACACACACACGCACACACACACCGCCCCTGCCGCAGTAGATGGAGCCCTCCACATGTGCAACGAATGTGAACGACGTTGCAGGTCCCGTCTCTTTAGTCACCTCATAACTCACCGACCAAGGTGACATCCCTAAAAATAATATCATTGTATCATAGCTGGATGATTGTCATACTCGATTCCGAGTGACACCGAAGTAGTAGTAGTAGTGTGTGTGTGAGTGTGTGTGTGTGTGTGTGTGTGTGTGTGTGTGTGTGGGTGGGTGTGTATTATTAACAAAATGCACTGAATAATAGAAAGGGGAACTATCACTATCCCTTCCCATTTCCTTCAGCATGATCTTAACCTATAACCTTTTACATTTAACCATATAATTACCAGCAGCGTTATTGGTAGGTATTACTAAAAAATTGTCATGAAAACGATGAGATATATTCTTTAGTATCTTGTCTAACGAATAATGATTCTTTGAGGCGCCTACTGAGATTGAATCTAATAATTCTATTATCAAAAATTTTAAGAACCTAATGCAACCATTCATAAATTAAATTAATTTTCCTCGATCTTATATTCCCTACACGTGACACCTACAAATCTAGACAAAGATTGCTCAAATATTTGATCTAAATATATTATCTTTAACACTAACTAATTCTCTTTACATGGGTATTAGGTAGTAGGCAGCTACCAAACAGGGAGGTACTACTACCTGGGAAGATATTGGAAGCATAATATGTTGTCTAATGGTAGACCCTGCTGCTATATGGCATCACAAAAATTGTGACCAAGTCCCAGATTGCTGATCTGACTTTCTGTCTCATTTACACACAATTGCTGGGTCTCAATTGTTTCTCTTACTATTGACAACACAACATACATATGTTGTTTTTCACTCTTGATATTCTTCTTCATTTTTTTATTTCTTTATTATTATTATTATTATTATTATTATTATTATTATTATTATTATTATTATTATTATATCATTATTATTATTATTATTATTATTATTATTATCTTTATTATTATTATTATGAGTATTATTATTATTATTATTATTATCTTTATTATTATTATTATTATTATTATTATTATTATTATTATTATTATTATTATTATTATTATTATTATTATTATTATTATCTATTATAATTATTATTATTATTATTATTATTATTATTATTATTATTATTATTATTATTATTATCTTTATCCTTATTATTATTATTATTATTATTATAATTATCATTATTATTATTATCTTTATTATTATTATTATTATTATTATTATTATCATTATTATTATTATTATTATTATTATTATTATTATTATCATTATTATTATTATTATTATTATTATTATCTTTATTATTATTATTATTATTATTATTATTATTATTATTATTATCTTTATCTTTATTATCTTTATTATTATTATTATTATTATTATTATTATTATTATCTTTATTATTATTATTATTATTTTTATTATTATTATCATCTTTATTATTATTATTATTATTATTATTATTATTATTATTACATTTTCGCCCCCCTGGCCCCGATGTGGGTCAGTGACCTGTGCCCGGGTGGGCTAATCCTTTAAAAAAAAATTACAATTTCTCTGATATTATTTTTTTCAGCAATAATCAAAACACCTGTTAAGACTAACCCATAATCTCTACTAAAATATGCAGATGCCTCACATCTATAATCAGCACTTATTATCATCCTAAGTCTATCTAAATCTATCTTATCCCAAAATAATTGGAGTTAAAAAGAGTGTTACCTACAGTTCTAGAATACTTGCAATAAACTTTAATATAATCATTCTGTGGATTACCTGGCAAAATTCCCGTAATTGTGGCTGGTATCCGTAAAAATGGACCAAATATTAACGTCTTCATATATTTCTTTCACAAAGGGCACTACAACAAATTCATTTGTTTGTTAACAGTTTGTCTTGGGTGTTTTTTTTAAATCTACTACAAAAGGCATCTATAACGAAAAGAGTTGCATCGCCATTATTGTCATTATAAGAGGTGAGTTTATCCAAAACTTTAAAAGAAAGAGATTTCAGTAAAACAAAACACTTTCTCTAAAAAAGACTTTACATGCATATGGTTCTTTAACTTCATTCAGTATATCAATAATATCAACTCTCTCATTCATACTACGAACAACACGTCGGTTTTTACGGTTTTCATGACTTCTTTATCCTCTAGGAACAGATTTTGAAAAATAGAACATAAGAACATAAGAAAATAAGGAGTCTGCAATAGGCCAGCAGCTCCTGTCGAGAGTTACTACCACTCTCTATCATCCGTGAATCTATCCAGCCTCCTAATAAAACTTTCCAGCGTTCCCGCACTTACTACAAAGTTGCTAAGATTGTTCCACTCGTCCACCACCCTATTTGTGAACCAGTTTCTTCCTATCTCCCTCCTAAACCTAAACTTATCCAACTTAAATCCGTTGCTCCGAGTCCTATCCTGCTCGGATATTATAAGAACTTTATTTATATCCCCTTTATTGATTCCTTCCACCCACTTAAATACTTCTATCATATGTCCCCGCACTCTTCGTCTTTCTAGGGAATGCAAGTTAAGTTTCTTTAACTTATCCTGACATGGAAGGTTTCTAAGTCCCGGAATCATTTTCGTCATTCTTCACTGCACCGACTCTAGTGAATTGATATCCATTCTATAATAAGGGCACCAGAACTGAACCGCATAATCGAGGTGCGGCCTGACTAGCGCAAGATATAGTTGCGATAAGACCTCTGCACTCTTATTACTTACACTTCTAGATATAAAACCCAATACCAATACGTCTATAGATTCTATACCTTTAAAATAAGAACCAAATCCCTACATTCTATCGTTTAAACCTAAGAGAAAAATACTGCACAGAGATTTAATCCGAAAAGACCCCTTATTCAATTATTTGTATCACACATTCATTAAAACCCTTATTATACTGTCTAAAATTGATCATAGATATATGTTGAAGGTTCCAAGTGTTCCCTGAAGAAGGCAGTGATGGGTAGGGAAACACCGGGTAAAACTGAAGTCCATTTATTAACGGATAGGAGAAATACAAGTGGTGACTAGCGTGTGCCTTGCACGGCCCATAGAATCAGACTGAGACTGCCTCGCCATATGGCAGCCTCGGGGCAATGCTGCCACATAACACGTGCAGTGTTGCCACGTAATTATATACATAGATGCTACTCGGCACAGTAGCTTATATACAAGGTTGCTACTCGGCACAGTAGCTTATATACAAAGTTGCTACTCGGCACAGTAGCTTAGATACATAACCTACATCTCCCCCCCCCCCTCACGCTCATAGTCTTTGTCTTGAGCGGACTTCTTAGTCCTAAGTCGCTCCAAGCGTCGAGGTGCACTGTGCGACGGATCCTCGTGAGGTGTGGGGGACTCGTCATCGGTCAGGGGGCCAGCAGCAGGGGGTGGGTCTGGCCGGAGGAAGCGGCGGTTCCTCCACCAGACACGGCCGCTCGGCATCCTGACCTTGTAGTCTCGCGACCGGCCGATGCCCATCACTATGCCCACCTTGTCCCAACGTGCCGTCGTCGGGTCCTGGACGCGGACAAGGGCACCAATCTCCAGCGGCTGAAGAAGGCTGGCACAGTCGTCGCAGCTCTCGGCTCTGGTCTGCCACTCCTTCGCGAAGGCCTTGGCGTGTGCAGGAGCGCAAGAGCGGAGAGGGCAACCATACAGGATCTGGTCAGGGGAGCGTCCTGTGGGGGTGGGAGTATTAAGTAACTCCAGGAGTCCTTTCTCAAACGCCTGACAGTCTATGTTGCCTGAAGGGGCCACCTTGAGGATGAGGTGCTTGACTGTCTTGACCGCAGCCTCAGCGTGGCCGTTTGACTGTGGGTAGTGGGGTGTTGACACGATGTGGCGGACTCCCCAAGGCTCCAGGAATCTTGTGAAGTCCCGGCTGGTGAACTGTGGCCCACCGTCCGTCCGCAGACGAACGGGGACGCCCAGGTCACGAAAGAGGTGCCGGAAGTGACGAATGGTGGCCGCGGACGTCGTGTCCGAGCCACAGATAACCACCACAGGCCAGCCAGAGAGTCGGTCGGCGACGACTAGGAAATATTTCCCAGCTGTCCTGAAGAAATCAGCCGACACGGACTCGAAGGGCCTGGTGGGTTCGTCGTCACACAAGAGGGGCTCCTGCTGTTGAAGCAGCCGTGACTTGGGTGGAGGCTGGGCGGGAGTGGACGCGGGTTCTGAGCAGCTCTGTGCGGCAGCGCCAGGCGCGTCGCTCGTTGACTCACGCACCCTGCTGGCGGTGTACCGAGCAACTGGGATCTGCTCGGGAAAGTCTCTGGGCACCACGCCTAACTCCTTGCAGTGCTCCCACGACAACAAGGGTGTAGCGAGGGTAGGCTGCACGTCCATCCATCCGTGACACGACCTGTCGCCGTAGGTGATCTCCGGTTGAAAGGAACCCACAGCGTCCAGCGTCTGGGAACCGTCTGCATTGTAGTACAGCAGCTGCGGCGGTGGTCCCAGGTCGCGTTTGGTGAGGCCCAGTTTCTGGAGGTGCTTCAGGGCTATCACCGTAGTATCAGCGCCGGTGTCCGATATCGCCTCGATGTGACCCGACACATCACCGTGTGTGAGGACGACGCGGATGGTAGGGGAAGGGGTAGCCCTGGGGCGTGTGGTCGATTCCACCCTCCTGATGTGATTCAGCTGCTGCTTGGGGCTGCATGGGCCATCTGAAGGGGCCTGGGTTGGCGGCAGCACTTGTCGTAGTGTCCATAGCGACTGCAGGCCTGACACTTGTGGCCTCGTGCAGGGCACCTGTCTGTGTTAGACACAATGCGTCGGAGGCCGAGCATGTCTTAGGGCCATGCTGCTTTCCACAGCTGCCACAGGAAGCACTAGGCGGAGGCGTGGAAGAACGTGCGGCAGCCTTCACGTTGTTGGCCGCCTTCTTACCCTTCTTGAACTGTGAGATAGCTCTCACTGCAGGTGGGGCACGTAAGGCAGAGGTGGCGGACTTGGTGGCCTCGTATGACCGACATTCAGTCACTACCACCTGGAGTGTGGAGGAAGCGTCCAGGGGGATGAGTCGCTGCACCAACTCTTCTTGCCTGACACCTGTCAAGATCCCGTGCTTGATCCAGGCTTCCTCACATTCCCGGCTGTGCGCCTTGCAGACGTCGATCTCCTCCGACAAACTCTTCAAACGTACAAAAAAGTCGTCAAAGGATTCATTCTCCGCCTGCTTGCAGCTGGTGAAGGCGTGGCGACGCAAAGCCTCGTTATTCCGACCCTTAACGTGCTCCTGCAACAGGTCGAGCACATCCGTCACTGAAGAATCGGGAGGCACTTGCAACGTGTGCTCCAAAACTCTCTGGGTCTCCAGCAACAAACACATCCGCAGTTGGATGAGCTGTTTGTTTGGAGGCATGCTGTCAAGGTCCACCATCGTGGAGTAATCTGTCCACCGCCGCCTCCACTCACGAAAAAGCTGAAACGTGACGTCTGGTGAGAGGGCGGGTGGGGGTTGAACAGATGCCTTGGGAGCTGTTGGAGTAGCAAGAGTGCCTGGAGCACGCTGGTGTGGTGGAGGAGGGAGGGTACTGGCGCCTTGGTGCGCGATACTTGCGAGTGAGGGAGGGTGGGTTAGCGCCAGGGTCGCCAATATTGCATCAAAGCGCGCCTTTTCCTCCTCTCTTCGTATCACCTCCCTCTGAAGTTCCATTTCTCTGCGTCTCTCGTCCCTGTCGTCCATCCACCTCAGAATTGTGGCAATGTCTGTCGCTGTAGGTGAAGGATGAGGGGCAGTGGGCGCAGAAGCTCCATCTGTGCCCGGTAGAGGAGAAGGTGGTGGGGAGTCATGTCCCCCATCTTGGCGTTGTCCCTTCTTACCGCCCATCTTAGTATGCTTGAACTGCGCTGTTTAGTATATAAAGTGGCGCCTCATCAGCTCGAACCACATATATATGACATAAACAGTGCAAAAATAACGCAGAGAGTCCACTGTTCTTTCCGTGAGTGCGTGCATGTTTGTGTGTGTGTGTGTGTCTCAGAGAGCAGATCGTGGTGGCTGCCACGGAGGCAAGAACGTCAGTGTCTCCCCGGATGTCACACGAGAAGGGTATACGCCTGCGTGCTCCGTGGGTACCACAAAACACAGACCAATGCTCAACTCTCATCTCTAGACACACTAATACACTGACACTAACACTGCCACCATCACTAAAACGCACTGTGACGGCGCAACACTGCACGTCGCGGCGAAACACAACGCAACACAACACAACACACTAAGAGTCGACATGCACATCGCCGGCAATCGCACATCGCCGGCTAACTGTCCATTGATCACACACTTGTAAGTCCAGAGATCCTACTCACTACGCCAGGAAGGTTCCAAGTGTTCCCTGAAGAAGGCAGTGATCGATAGGGAAACACCGGGTAACACTAAAGTCCATTTATTAACGGATAGGAGAAATACAAGTGGTGACTAGCATGTGCCTTGCACTGCGCACAGAGTCGGACTGAGACTGCCTTGCCATATGGCAGCCTCCGGGCAATGTTGCCACATAACACGCGCAGTGTTGCCACGTAATTATATACATAGATGCTACTCGGCACAGTAGCTTATATACAAGGTTGCTACTCGGCACAGTAGCTTATATACAAGGTTGCTACTCGGCACAGTAGCTTAGATACATAACCTACATATGTCTCTGTACCATAACGAACACATTGCCTGTGACCGCTGTTCTTCGGTGCAGATACTGACTAGTTTTCCAACATATAGTTATCCACATGCCTTACATGTAAGTAAATACAGTATACTACATTTTTAGTTTTACAACTAAGCAAGAATTTACAATCCAAAATAAATCTTTTACCTGTAACTTATCTATCAAAGACTTTATTACAAGCAAAGACACCACAACATAAGCACATATTAATTATAACCGTTTCTAGCTAGTCAAAGAGACACTAGCAGGCTAAGAACCAAGTGGCAAGAGGCTGCCTCACTTAAGAGGGCGTTACTTGGCATTAAACTTTAATAAACTATCCCATTTTCACCTAACAAAACCTGGATATCGTACACACGGCCATCACTCACCCAACACACACACACACACACTTGTCAACCACCAGCGAGACAATACGTGTCCTGAAGGCAAATGGCAAATGAAATTCAACACCAGCAAGTGCAGCGTACTTAATATTGGAAGAACAAATACTTATAATGTATACAGCCTTAACAACATCAACCTAGAGAAGTCGACTTGTGAAAGAGACCTAGGGGTACTTGTAAGCCCGGACCTACGGCCTAGAAAACAGTGCGTTAATGTTCGAAGTAAGGCAAACAGAGTATTGGGTTTTATATCTAGAAGTATAAGTAACAAGAGTGCAGAGGTCTTATTGCAACTATATCTTGCTATAGTCAGGCCGCACCTCGATTATGCGGTTCAGTTCTGGTGCCCCTATTATAGAATGGATATAAATTCACTAGAGTCGGTGCAGCGAAGAATGACAAAAATGATTCCGGGACTTAGAAACCTTCCATATCAGGATAGGTTAAAGAAACTTAACTTGCATTCCTAGAAAGACAAAGAGTGCGGGGAGATATGATAGAAGTATTAAGTGGGTGAAAAGGAATCAATAAAGGGGATATAGATAAAGTTCTTATAATATCCGAGCAGGATAGGACTCGGAGCAACGGCTTCAAGTTGGATAAGTTTAGGTTTAGGAGGGAGATAGGAAGAAACTGGTTCACAAATAGGGTGGTGGACGAGTGGAACAAGCTTAGCAACTTTGTAGTAAGTGCGGGAACTCTGGAAAGTTTCAAAAGGAGGCTAGATAGATTCATGGATGATAGAGAGTGGTAGTAACTCTCGACAGGAGCTGCCATGCACAGGCCAACCGGCCTATTGCAGACTCCTTATTTTCTTATGTTCTTATGTTCTTACTGTCCTGGCCACGTGGACACACACCTGCCCAACCGCATCCAGCCCATACGAGCACGTACTGATTGCTATAAGAACAGCCCAGTCCCAACCATTGTAAAAATTATCAACACCTAATTATTAAATATCATATTTATATCACATATGTTACCTGTATATCATTTGTAAATCAAGAGACCCACTCTCCAATTATGAAATTGTATATTTTCAGCCTTCCGGCTGCCATGCTCTTTCAATAAACAGTTAATTATTATTGTTATTATTATTATTATTATTATTATTATTATTATTATTATTATTATTTACACACACACACATATATATATATATATATATATATATATATATATATATATATATATATATATATATATATATATATATATATTTATATATATATATATATATATATATATATATATATATATATATATATATATATATATATATATATATATATATATATATACCTGAAGGCGACGTCAATACTGTTGCTAATGGTGAGGTCAAGGATGAGTCCCCGACAGGTAGTTCTAGAGTCTCCCCACAGCCCCTGCACGAGGTTGTCCTGGGTCAGCTGGTTCTGAGAGAACGCCCACCCTGCATCCACTACCATGCCAGCTTCTACATCCTCACTGAATTGTCTGAGGGACACACATTTATATTGTTATTCCTAGACCAGCAGATTCTGAGAAACAATACGTGAATATCCTGTTTTATTCATACAAGTATTAAATTATTAAAAATATATACTATTTACTGGAAAATTACACAATTTTACTTTATTTTTTTGAAATGGATGGTGACAAAACAAGAGAAAATATTGTAAAATTAAATTGTGGCATGCGAGTATTTCATGATGAGAAGAACAAATTTCGCCTTAAACCTTCAAAAGACGCAGTTGGATATGATCCTGTTTTCCTTTACACGTAATCATTCCTACACCAAGCACAAATGCACTCATAAACATTAAAACACAATGAGTAAATTATTAAAAAAAAATTGTGAATGAGCGCATGAGGCAAACATTACATAATTAATGAGGATCCCCGGGCAACAGGTAAGAATCTTCTGATCCTGGGATGATGGAAATATATCGAAGGGCAACATTATAGAATTAAGTGTATGAACTGTAATGAAAAAAAGGAGAGTATAGTAGTAGGTAGATAGGCAGCTACCAAACAGGGAAGATATTGGAAGCATAATGTGTTGTCTAATGGTAGACCCTGCTGCCATATGGCATCACGAAAATTGTGACCAAGTCCCAGGTTGCTGATCTGACTTTTTACCTCATTTACACACAATTGCAGGGTCTCAATTGTTTCTCTTACTATTGACAACACAACATACATATATTGTTTCTCAGTCTTGACCTTTTATTTCATTTTATTTCTTTATGTTTTTTTATTATTATTATTGTAGTGTTGTTATTATTATTTTTTTCATTATTATTATTTTTTTATTTACTTTTATGAATTATTATTATTATTATTATTATTATTATTATTATAATTTTATTATTATTATTATTATTATATTTTCGCCCCCCAGGCCCCGAAGTGGGTCAGTGACCTGTGCCCGGGTGGGTTAATTCCCGTAAAAAAAAAAGTCGTACGTTATTGCGTTATCATTAATATTTATTTTTCTCAATATATAACTCATCTTCATTTATAAGTGACCAACATGTAATGCTTAAAAAATAAAAAATTAATTCATGTATAAACTTAAGTAAATGTCACAAATTACAAAAAAATTAAAAATACTTAAGTTAATCATCAAGTTAATGTTAATAAGAATATATTTGAAAGAAGAATGCATTACCTAATTATATTGGAGAATGTGTGTGAGTGTTGTGTAGTGGTGATGAGCACCAGGTGACACCCGGTGAGATGGTGCTCCACTACCTGACCCACCATCATGCCCACATCCACGCCCACCTGCTCCACGGGCAAATTTAAATCCTGACTAACCACGGGTACAGCACCCACCACTATGGCAGCTACTGCTACCATTTGATGCCTGAGTGAGACCATTATCTGGAACAAAGGGAACATATATGTCTCCCTAAGTACAGTAGATATAATTGGCTCTCAGTCTTAAAAAAAAATGACGTTTTTGCCAAATAGGTTGATAACTTTTTGTTCTTATTGCTATAAATAAATAAAATTTACTTTCATTCATCAGAATTTACTCTGTAATTTGAAACGTCGCTTTCTACCATAAAATAACATCCTGCACTCGCATCCAGCTGCACTTGAGGGAGATAAGTAATCTCCAAGATGGAAGCACATTGTAGTCCCACACACTCTGCACGTTTGTTATTTGTTCTATATACCAGCAGTTCCTGCAGTTGTCTCGGACTTTGTAATGCCTTGCATGTTAACCCCAGAGGCACCACATACGAGGGTATGCAGGACATGATTTACCACAAGAAAAAAGGCCAAGGAGCACAGATGAACTGGGTAATTGAGGTGAATATCTAAGGAAAAGTTTGGGGTAGCCAGAGGAAAGCCCCGAAAATTGGAGCAGTTACTGCCTGCAGAGAAACTGTTTCCGGGTTAATTAGTGCTCATGTCTAGGGCACTCTTCTTCGTGATAGGTTTGGATCAAACTGCTGACTCCAGTTAGTACAGTATCTTTTATCTTTTATGATTTCACATATGATCCCATTTTACTTCCACTAACTTAAGATGTCACCATGATATTATAGTTATATTTTCTTTACCGGTTTGTTAGCATGACTAGTGTGTTTACCGTTATCGTCTTGATAATCGACTACCAACTTAGAGAAAAACCATTTTACTTAATGATAAGAAAACATCTTAGCAATGTGATTCTTTATTTGGATCATCCAGTCAAAAAACATATTCTATCAACAAACCTTCTAGCATACCGCCGTCAGGGTAACGGTTCTTCCCAAGACACACTGAGGTGTATAACAATTACCAGGAAATATTTATGAATAACCTGATTAATCCAATTGAAATACTATCATCATTCAGGCACAGTCGCGATATTTTTTCGTTATTTACAAGAAGAACCTTTAGGGTCTGAATGTTTGGGTGAGAATCCAATCCACCCGTTTGTTTGTTAATCTTGCCTTGGCTTCTTTGATTCCTGGGTGCGGGGAATTTTTATTATTATTTTATTATTTTTATTATTAGTAGTAATAGGAGCATAAATATGGTGATAATAATTCAATAGTAAGAACATAATGCTCTGTATATAATTCTACGTTAGCTCAGGCCCAGACCTTTGAAGAATAAAGTTTATGATGGACCTCAAATATACGTCAGCAGTTCCCCGCTAAGACGCACCTGCTTATATTACAAATAAGATTTACACATATATATATGTCATAGACAAAGTATGTAATTAGTCATCTTGTGTAATGTAAACTAACTTATTCTAATTTTAACCTATCCAAACCTACTTTATCCTATCCTTACCTAACCTAACCTAGCCTAACTTAACCTAACATTAGATTGGTTAGGTTAGGCAGAACCAGTTTTGTCTAGGTTAAGTTAGGTATCCTAATGAAATATACCTAGCCTCACCTAACCTGACCACAACTAACTTAAGTAATCTAATGTTCAGTTAAGTTATGGTAGGCTAGGTTTGATAAAGATAGTATACATTTGGTTTTGCTAGGTTTAATTAGATTAAAAATGTTTACATTATAAAAGTTGACTAGTCATTACACGAAATGGCTGATAACACACTTTGACTGTAACATAATTATATACTTTGAGTTGCCATACCATATTCCTACAACATTTCAATAGAGTCAGACACCTGTTTCCACAATTCTCAGTTTTGTTTAATGGACGTATATGTGTCGTGTAGATTATATTTGCGATTTTGAATATAAATATATGTACAAACTAACAGCGATTTTTTTTTTAGTTTACGGCTGTTGAAGGCGTAAGAAGGCGATATTTAAACTGCTGTCGTTGTAGCAGTTCCTCTCTAGGTCATAATATAAAGGTAGATAGTTGTGATATGAGTTTGTGGTCAGGTAATGGTACACCCTCTCATGATCAATATAACTCGGCAGAAACTCTCTGCCTTTAATTGACGATTTTTCAGGCGATGTATATAGGACGTTGGGTTTTCTTGTAAGCGTATGACAAAATTTTGAGCGATAAGGTCTTGTCTGCAGCGTCCCTTCCTCCTGCCACCGTCGAATCCACCTGTACACGGTGGATATACTTGCTCCGGACTCCGTGGATATTTCTCGTGCTGACAAACCATTCTTCCACAACAATATCATTTTCACACGGTCTGTTAGCAAAACCTGACTCCTGGTGTGTCGGCTCTCCATTATAAGTGAGCCTGTTGAACAAGATCATTATACATATTATGGTAGACTTGTATATGCTTGTGCATGTACCGACATGTTTATCATGAAAAAAAATCGATACTGTCCGTAATACATTTATATAGATAACCAAATACATGTAAATGAAAAGATGTATGAATAACCTCGCAAACAGTCCTGACACCTCCCCATCCTTACCTGACCTAACTTACTATAGGTATATCTTATGATGATAAACGACCTCCTAAATGAAACACTGCAAATTTTATGAAATCTAAAATAATTTCTATTAAATTTTAGTAATAAAAAAAAATATTTATATATATATACAGTATATATATATATATATATATATATATATATATATATATATATATATATATATATATATATATATATATATATATATATATATATATATATATATATATATAAATTTGGGAAAAGCGTTAACTTTTTAAATCTCAATCGTTGATTATCCCAATTTTACGTGGTATATGTGACACACACACATCGTTTAGAATACTAACCTTGTGTTAAATGCTGAAGTAACGACCGCCTTCTCTTATTAGCATTACCCAACAGAGGTCCACTAACACTGACTCTATGATGCACTGTATGTGTATATATATATACTGTATATATATTATACAGTGCGCGAGTACACATTGGGGAGGGGCTTAGCTTCTTACGCGCTAGTAACGTAACCTCTGATTGGTTAAACCAGGGGTTCTCAACCAGGTGGGAATTCAGGTTTTCGGGGGGGGGGAACTGATTCGGGAGCAAGAGATATATGTTCGATGAGAAATCAATCACAGAATTTTGGCCCTTGATGTGCGATTCCTACCCAAAAGTGGCAGAAAGAGCTATCCGTGCATTGCTTCCGTTTGTGTCGACATATCTTTGTGAGTCAGGCTTTTCAACTCTGTTGCAAATTAAAACGAAGCAACGTAGTAGATTAGAGGTAGAAAATGACCTGCGTTGTGCCCTTTCAAGCACTCCTCCGCGTATCCCAGAATTGGCGAAGAAAAACAATCACAGGTTTCTCATTGACTGTAATCTTCATCTGAATAAAATTAATTACAAATTTACAATATCCTGGCATTCTATTGAACTTTTTGTTTATTGCATTATGCTTCAGTTTGGTCTGTTAAGTAATTCATTATAAACATAAAAAAATTATTTTAATTTTATTCAAGTTTTATAAATCCATCAACATTTTCAATTGGCATTTAATTTGTAAAACTCCACTATAAAAATAATCCATGTAAAATTGTAAATGTATGTGTACTAATATGGAAAAAATAAAGGATTTTCAGTATTATATGCATATTATTTGGAATGCACTTTTTGAGGCAGACAATCTTGGAAAGGAGGGCGGAATGACATTCTGACATATGGTGAAAGGGTGCATGGGGCAAACAAGGTTGAGAACCACTGGGTTAAACAGTATGACCAACACTCACGCATTAAGCGGGAGACTCAGTAATTGGCAAAAATATTTCAAGCATGTTGCTATATATATATATATTTCATTAGCCTAATAAAGCACGCGAACTTCTACATAAGAACATAAGAAAATAAGGAATCTGCAATAGGCCGGTTGGCCTGTGCATGGCAGCTCCTGTCGAGAGTTACTACCACTCTCTATCATCCATGAATCTATCTAGCCTCCTTTTGAAACTTTCCAGAGTTCCCGCACTTACTACAAAGTTGCTAAGCTTGTTCCACTCGTCCACCACCCTATTTGTGAACAAGTTTCTTCCTATATACCTCCTAAACCTAAACTTATCCAACTTGAATCCGTTGCTCCGAGTCCTATCCTGCTCGGATATTATAAGAACTTTATCTATATCCTCTTTATTGATTCCTTTCACCCACTTAAATACTTCTATCATATCTCCCCGCACTCTTCGTCTTTCTAGGGAATGCAAGTTAAGTTTCTTTAACCTATCCTGATATGGAAGGTTTCTAAGTCCCGGAATCATTTTTGTCATTCTTCGCTGCACCGACTCTAGTGAATTTATATCCATTCTATAATAGGGGCACCAGAACTGAACCGCATAATCGAGGTGCGGCCTGACTAGCGCAAGATATAGTTGCAACAGACCTCTGCACTCTTGTTACTTACACTTCTAGATATAAAAACCCAATACTCTGTTTGTATATTTCGAACATTAACGCACTGTTTTCTAGGCCGTAGGTCCGGGCTTACAAGTACCCCTAGGTCTCTTTCACAAGTCGACTTCTCTAGGTTGATGTTGTTAAGGCTGTATACATTATAAGTATTTGTTCTTCCAATATTAAGTACACTGCACTTGCTGGTGTTGAATTTCATTTGCCATTTTTCAGACCACCCCTGCAGTTTATTTAGATCCTCCTGTAATGCATTTGCATCCTGCCCTGAATTAATTTGCCGCCCTATTTTGGTGTCATCCGCAAACTTCCTTATGTCACTGCTGATCCCAGTATCTAGATCGTTTATGTAGATTATGAACAAGAGTGTGCCTAGGTTTTCTATAAATACTGAACTTAAAGGTGTTACCTATTCTGTGTATCAGACAGTCTAAGAATGGCAATTTACAGTCATGCTCACCCCTGAAGATGTGAATTACACGAAAGCACTTGGGAACTTCGTGTTTTCTTTTTCCTTGTGGTTATCAGCATATACCTGGATCACGCGCACCTACAGTGATTTACTTGCATATATATATATATATATATATATATATATATATATATATATATATATATATATATATATATATATATATATATATATATATATATATATATACGTGTGTGTGTATGTGTATGCATGATAGGCCTTGGGTGTATTTAATAACCTTTGGCTTATACAGTGTTTAATGTTTTAGTATAAATAGAAACTTGAGTGAAATATTTGTGCCAGTGTGTGAGAGAAGGTAGGGATATATCTGATAGTACCGTCTTCTTTTAAGTCAGCCATAGACAACCTGTCCTCAGTCTTGGGCCTCATATCGATTTAGGTATTTTTCTGCGGGCCGACCTACCATCATTTATATCCTCCCTAACCAAAAAATAAAGTTAATATTGTATTAGCACGGACAGATAAACAGTTTATTGTCACGTCCACTTTACGATATTTTCAGTTTACACTCAAAGTCTTTTACCCATTTTCTTAAAAAATCCACCATAATAATTTTTTAAGTACAATGTTAAAGTTTCTTGGCATTTAACAGAAGATGGGTGAAGCAGTCTGAGAATACGTTGATTTTTCGTACAGTTACAGCATTTTTCTTACTTATAAGACATTACCTAATTTTATTATATTAAGAATTATGTAGTGTGATTCCTCCACAATATGAGTTAATCTGAGGCTTATTAAGAACCTGATGGGTATAATATTAAAGTCATTATAGTGTTTACTCTGCTTGTTATTGTGACCACTAGTGGCAGGGGGTTTGTTTCTTTATGCTTTAACGATCAAGCCTCACCTCTTTTTGACTAGTGGCAAATTCTTGATAAAGAGGAGTGATGGCATTACAATATATATATATATATATATATATATATATATATATATATATATATATATATATATATATATATATATATATATATATATATATATATATATATATAATCAACACCTCACCCCGCCAGAACCCACGATCTTATAATTGCGACTGGGGAACGCTACTTCTGGGCCACCAGGGCACTAAAAGCGGTCCTAGACTCTGTTATATTTCACACAAAGCCTGTTCAACGAGTTTATGGCGCTGTGAACCTCTAATAGGGACCACCTGTGCCGGTTAGGTGATCAGAGCAACGTTTTACCAAATCCGGCTTCGAAACACGAGGATCCATATATATTTCATTAGCCCAATAAAGCACGCGGACTTCTACATATAATCAACACCTCACCCCACCAGGATTCGAACCCACGATCTTATAATTGCGACCGGGGAACGTTTTGTGTGAAATATGAGTGTCTAAAACTACTTTTAGTGTCCTGGTGGCCCAGAGGTAGCGTTACCGGTCAGTGGCCCAAGGTTAAAAATGCTTTGGAAACCTTTGATCTAGATGTATGATAGTTATTTTGTGGGTCCCTTATTTTTGACCTGACCTGACTAGTCACGTCACCCCCCTTCTCTTAAGCTCCTCTACGTGTGTGTTGGTGTGGGGATTAGTGGATGACATCATTATGACCTGACCTCATGTTTTTAAGGTCACCCTGTATATTTAAGCCTCTCTCTGTCCATGTAATCGAGTTGCCTCTGAAGATGTCTTGAATAAAGACGAAAGCTAAGGTGCTCCGTTGTTTCCATTTTCCCGTGTGATTTTATCAAGATTTATCTTATCCACGCTTTCATTGTGGATTTACATGAAATATGGAACTTACAGGTCTCTCTTACGCTGTGTGTTTAATCTGTCAACAACATCCTCATCTTCGCCCCATCTACCGTAATTACAAGAAGAGTTTGCTGAAGTCTCATAGTCTCAAAAACAAGTTGAAGTTTTTGAAAGATTGCGGAGATGATAAAATTGTTCCCAAGTCCTGTCTTCCAAGTAGACTAAGAAATCTGGACAATCAAGCATTCTCTGAGTTGGATAAGGTGTTGCTAGATTCCCTTATCAAGAGTTCAAGTGATAGTGTAAAATTTAGCCTTCAAACACAGTGCTCAGTGTAAAATACTTATGCAAAACAGTGTTTGTGTTGATAAGTGGCACACCATTCGTGATTTTGTATATCAACTTCTTAGTGAAACTGACAAAGCCCAAAAAAGAAGGTTAAATGCCAAATTAAATGCTCTGTTTAACGAGAGTTACTGGACCATATTGAGTGATCCAAATTTGTTCATAAACTTATCATCTTATGATCTACAGACAAATGAGAAACTTGTTCTTGGTTTTGGTAGGAAGTTTTCTATCACTCAACGGTGTGTTAATCCGCTTACTATTGCTAAAGGTTTAATCAACCTGGAGAAGAATAAGTCGTCAGATGTTACAAATGAAGATATTTCCATAGCTAAAGGCTGTATACATAGTGTTTTACATAAGAAATTTGTTTCAAACATTCCAAAAAGATTTGAAACAGCCTTGATAAACTTGAAAAGAAATAAGAATATCCATATTACCAAGGCTGATAAGTCTAATGCTATTGTTATTTTGGATAAAAGTGACTACAATGATAAGATGAATTCATTACTTAGTGATGAAAGCACGTATTGTGAGCTTACGAAAGATCCCCTGGAAAATATTAATAAGTTATCTAATTCCAAAATGAAGATGTTATTAAAAAAGAACCCCGATCTCATCAAACAGCTCTCTCAAATCAATCCCACTTTACCTTATATGTATGGATTGATCAAAACACACAAGCTTAACAATCCATTACGTCCTATCGTGAGTTCTGTGAGTTCTGTTACTTACAAATTATCCAAGTGGCTGGTAAAGATGCTATCCCCTCTTACAGGCCAAATATCTAATTCACATATACACAATAGCAGTGATTTAATTGATTAACTCAAGAAACATAATGAACCTTGCGAATTAATAAGTTTTGATGTAAATTCACTGTTCACTAGAGTACCTGTGAAAGACTTACTTT